CTAAATTAGCTTACTACCAGTTGAAGATGATAAGACTCTACAAAAACCTTAAAAGTTTTAAAGGAAGAACTAGTGTAAGAAAGCCATATCTTCCTACGTGTGGTAGCCAAGAGGAAGATCTTGTCTCTCAACAGAGAAGTGAGTTTATTTTTCTTCTCCACCATAAACCTATACTAGGTGGGAAGGTGATGATCCAAAATGTTAAAGGCCTTTAGGGTCCGTCGTAAGGACTAATTTTATTGACAGAAGAATTTAAAGAAGTCCATCATCTCATCTAGTATGTACATGCCCAATGGATAGGTAAATAGATAGGGAAAGGTTCTCGGCAAAGCTTTAGAAAATAAGCTGTGGTCTATAACCTCAGAAACTAAACAGGCTATAGAAATTGTTGAAGGGTTTCTTTTGCACGTACTCTCTCATGCCATCATAAAGATAGCAAAGAAACATGGTACCCATAGTCAGTTGATTGCTTTAGAGAAGGGATTGGGTGACCCTTAGATGAAATTGCACGAGCTTTCCTCCTACAGGGGCTAGGACCCACTAACTCAGCAGAATCCAGATAAAAACCAAGTGCTTCATAAGGGTCATGGGCTTATTTGCAGACTTCTCTGAAAATAGCTCCATGATCCGAGTACAAGAACCAGTACCCCTAATCTTAGACTCAAGCTTAGTGGGTAGGGTAACATAAGATTCATGCTTCTCAGGGATATTAAAGAAATTCTCTTCCCTAGTAATCAGCAACCCCAGGAACATGAACATGTCTGAGAGCATGATGGTCATAGGGCTCAAGTTGAAGAAGAAGGCATTGCAGCGGGGAGCCCAAAAGCTCAAAAGAATCTTCAATAAGCTAACAAGAATATCAACATCAACTTGAGAGAGCTAGATTAAGTCATAAAGACCCATTTCTATCCACTATACTTTAAAGGTTGGTCTCAAGTAGTTAACCCATTTGGTCCAAGCATGAGGAGAGTAGGGCCAGCTACAAAGCTTTCAATAGGAAGATTCAATAAAGGGTAATGTCGCTTGGGGCCAATATGAGGTCACGAACTGAGATTAAGGGCTATGGGTTTAGTTGGGTAAGTCCTACTACCTCCGATAAGTCTAAAGCTATAGATAAATATCCCATATCGCTTCGGTTGGACAAGAAAAGCTCTAAGGAGAAGTTTTGAAAAAAAGAGGTAAAATGCAATTAGCATCAATCCTTAAAAAATGAAAGAATTTAACCAAAACAAATATTCTTACCAGAAACTGATGCATAGATGGAATGATAAAACTTCTTGAAAAAAAAAAAGAAAGAAGGAGCATTAGACTGAAAACTCAAACTGAGAATAATGATAGTTTAGGGCAAGATATATACCGTAGTAAGTCCCCTTAAAAGGCTATCAATATTTTTGATTGTGGCCAGAGAGTCAGGGAAGGTCCTAATAGAAAATTAAAGGGAGTAGCATCAGAAGTAGTGGTAGTAGGAGAAGAAGCCATTATTGAACAAGGAAGTGGAAGGAACAAGGAGTAAAAGCTTAAGGATCAAGAAATGGAAGAGAAAATAGGAAGGACTAGCAAAAAGGGTGGAAGAAAAATTTTATATTGTCAAGAAGGCACACAGAAATGAAATAACATTTCGATCTTTTTTCAAACATGCCACGTGGCTTATAGTTATCGGTCACTAGCATGCAGGGGGCATTGTTTCAGTTAAAGCTAAAATATTGTTTACAATAACTATAGCAAAAAAATGGGTTGAGAAGCTAAAGAATCAGGTCTAGTAAGCGATCCAATAACAAGGCCAACCTAGAACATGATGAACAACCTGATTAAGTCAACATAGGTATTTGAATCCCTTAAGATTGGAGCCACTACTTAGACCGTTGCATTACACAAAACCATAACCTCCACGGGCCTCAAATCTCGTAAAATCGTGGCCATTATCCACAAATATCTCAAGGACATAAGCTAATAGTTAAACAACAGTATGCGTTGTGAATAGAAAGATCGTGCCATGAATCTTGTAGGCTATGCCTATTAAAGCCCTGATATTTCACGAATGAGTTCCAAATTTCATAGAAGCAACCGTCTCCACTATACCATTAACAAAGGAGGAGTAGGTCATAGAAAGCAAGGCCGAACAACAACAATTTGGGTAAACTACGGTAAGAGAGCTAAAGACCCTTTGTTATTATTTAAGACTCAGCGTCTTTGACACGCTTAGTATTCTATTGTTTATGAGGAACAGAAGGAATAAACAAGTTTACAAGCCTAAACTAAGTGATTCATTTTGATGTCCTAAACAAGGTTAATCCACGTGGATTGATTCTAGTTTTTGGGGTGGCTGTGAGTCATTCAGCCATTGATAAATAAAAGTGGTCCAAGCAAAAAAAAAAAAGGAAGCCTTTGGTGATTGATGAAATCAATAATGCATGGTTGAATTAGAGTTAATGCCTTTTAGTAACTCAGGACCACCGCCACACGATCACGATATGAGGAATTTTGTTTCATTAAAATGAATACAAAGTAAATCAAAACAATTAACTGAATTCAATTAATGGAACTCAAAAATATTATATATAAATCAACTAATTTCAATTTGGTTTCTTGTTAAAGATAAAGTGTTTCTATGTAATATTATTTAAGGACAATCTATCTGGCACTTGCGTTATTTAATTACACCCACAATGGACAATCTATTTGGCACTTGCGTTATTTAATTACACCCACAATGGATTTATAATCTTTAGAGAAAATGAAGACATACAAATCCATATAGAAGGAGACGAGGACACTAAAATTGCAAGAAAGCTACCAATTATTAGACTTTAATTTGGTGCATTCAATGGCATCTAGCAAATCATCCAACCATGAAGAATGTGGTTGATATGTTGGAAGGAGATGATGAAGAGCTAATTTTGCCCCCTAATCCTTTTGGGTCTACGCATGCAACCAGAACAAGAGTTGTTAATGGAGCAAGGAGATTGAAACCAAAGTTATCTACCATTTTCTGACATGGAGTGAAGTTGAGATGATTAATATCTACTTTTAACTAGTTGTGTATTGTTTTTCTTACATTGCTGTATAATGAGCTGGGCTAAGTGTAAGTCTTGAGTTTAGATTTGTTGCTAGTCTTTAGCTCCTTGTTGATACAAGGTTCAAAATATGATCACACCCAGTTAGCCATGGAAAAAATTCTACAGGGTTATAAATAAGAATAAATTATCCTATGTTGTTCCCAGTTTGAAAACATTTTTATATGAATATGATCAAACCATATGCATACATGTGAATGGCTTCTCTATTCTGATGCTTAGAAGATTAAGATTCAGACTTGAAGCCTTCAAGAACAAAATGATAAATAAGTATACAGATTTAAAAATAAATAAAAATACTCATAGCGCGTTATGAGATCCCTTTCTAGGTTATACAAAATGAAAATAAAAAGATAAATCATTGACTCTTAGACAACCACAATTGATGAAATTTATCTCTACCAACTTCAATATTGATAACATTTTCACAAGGGATAAGGAAAAATTATTTTTTGAAGTTTCTAGGAAGGTTTTGTCACACCTCAAAAATTAGATATGATCATCACAGGATACATGCATAAACATACATTTCTTAAGCCTTTATCAAGGAAAATTCTAATTTAATATCTTAATGTGTTTGAAATAGAATTAGAAATCATTGCAATACTTTCTTTCAATCAAAACAGTCCCAACCTATCTATAGAAATTTCAATAAAACCACCTTATAAAAAAGTCCTTCCAAAATTTCCACAACCATCATTTACAGAACCAAATTAATAATACTGAACTCTACTCTTTCATAACAAACAAACAATATAATTTACAATTTAACATTCTATCTACAATTATTTTGGAGCACATGAAGCATATTATAAAAATAATACATAAACTCACATTTAAATCAAAAGTTAAGATTTGTCCAAAGAAATTCATCTAGTTCACTGATAAATTCTCTCAATGATCAATAAGAGATCCTAAGTGCTGATATTATCTGAGGCCAAAATATTTTTCAATAAATAATGTTCCAATTTAAAATTAAAGAAAATAAAGAGAAAATGTACTAATATGAAAATCAAGAATTTAATAGGAATATCTATTTGAAAACAAATTAGAAACTCATACCTCAAATCACATGATTCCATGTAAATATGTGAATCATGTATTTATGAATCTAAATAATGATGACATAGCATTAGAATCTCATTTTAATACTACAATATATATTTTAGACAATTATTAAATATGAAACTCTTTACAAAATCTATATGTGAAGAAATACAACTCATTTAACTAATATCATTTTAAACAAACTATAAGTTTCAAAACTCAAATGTTTAGTAGGACTTAACCAGAACAATTAACGAGCGTGGATACAAAGTCCATGAGGGTAAATAACCAATAAGCATAGACATGCAGTTAGAAGTCACGAGATAATCAAGCGCATCTAGAAGCCATGAAACAAATGTAGGTAGAAGCCTATGAAACAAGCGCAGGCTAGAAACTCATGAAACAATCATGAATATGATGCTAACGAATATCTATTCCTTCATTTTACGTGCGTTAGCCTGTGCATGAGGCTAACATCTCTTACAAACACATTGTTAGCTAAATGTACTATGGCACGTTAAGAGCTAACAAGACTGCTATTAGCAACTAATGTTTTGTATTCAGTCCCACCAAAAGATTTTCAAACATGCATGGAATTCAATTATTGATGGAACACCATATCATTTTTTTTTAATATTGACATTCATCAAAAGAATATTATTAATCATGAATTTTTTTTCGACACAAGTTCTCATGCTTGGGTATTTGTAATTAGGACATTGAAAAATAAACAAAATCTTTGTTTTAAACCAACCTTTAACTATCAATAATACAATAAAAATCATAACATCATGTGTGTGTATGAAAATATGCTTAATCAATATTTTTGGCAAAAAAATGAATTTTAATTAATAAGTTATTGGGACGATATTCACTTACTTGTCGGTTTCCCAAATCTAAAGATTGTGTTCTTTCAACTCCTATCAAGTTTCACATCTTTCCAACACCCTATAAGACATAATAGGATTTCAATAGATGTTCGACACTAACACAATCATAATGAATTTAGATAACTCAAAATTTTTCCAAACACCATCATTTACATCCCAAAGTTCCTCTATAATACTTTAGTCATAGGTAATTATTTAATCAAGAGTGTTTGTGTACACACCATCCTTAATCACTCTATTAATCTATAATTCTTCCATTATTCATTTTACCGAACATCTTAAGTGCATTCCAAAATTAAGTCATAAAACAATATCATGATTCATATATTCTGTCAAGAAATCAATTACTTTCACAGATAAATATCATTTAAGCCACTATATTTCTTATGAGATTTAATGAAATTTCTAAAAAAATATATAATCAAGCAAAACTGTTCCTAGCAGGCCTTTTATCGAACATATTGCAAGCGTTAAGCCTTAATCTAATACCAAACTTTTTCCTCTTCAATTACAATTTCAAAATAAACAAATGAATGAATGAATGAATTTTCTATATCAATCTTTGAATTAATCGGTTCCCAAATTCTATCCCTTCAACAAAATTATTATTATTATTTTACTCAAATAAAACCAAATCAGCAATCCTCATCTTGCATTTAAGACTAAAATTTTCAGTTTGAATCCATTTCCCCTCCCCATTCAACGCACACAACAGCACAAGGGGAAAAGATTAAAACTTTAATCATTACACCACATGCACACGCGCAAATCAACAAGGAGAAGGAAGCTCCTCACCTCAATCAGCAACGTCTAAAAGGAAGAGGAAGACGAAAGTGCAGATCAATGAATACGGAGAAAGAAGGGGAAGAGAGACCGACACACTTGGAGCAAGAAATACGATGGAGGAGAGAACCAGCAGCAGCACTCACAGCAACGCACAAACAGAGAAGAAATAGGGGAGGAAGAACGATCGAAATCTCAACGCACCTACACGATTGTTCACACGGAGGAGGACGAAGAATCTCTTTCCACCCACACTGAAACCGTTGAACCAGATCGGAAAAAAAATTGGGGGAGAGAAGGACGATGGGTTTAGTTTTTGCTCTCCCTTCGTTCCGGAACGTTCGGCAATGGGAATGGAAAATAGTGAGAACGAAAAATCTGAATCTGATAGTGTGTGCTTGTCTGTTTGTTGGTTTTTTTTCAGGGGCATTTCAGTAATTTTAAGAAACTGAAGCAAAATGAAATTTCTTCCGCTGCAAGATTCGAACTCCATATTTAGAGGAAAAAACCAATGCTATTAAAATCAGATTGAATATTAAACCGATTAAAGTATTAATTCACAATTCAATGGTTGAATTGGGGTCGAATCAAAATCAGACCGTTTATAATTAAATTAATATATTTTAAATATTTATATGCTAAAAATTATAATTATAGAAAAAATATTAATTTAAGTATTATAATTTAAACACCTTTTAAGGCCACCAACACCGTCCTAAAGTTTGTGGCCTCCATTTATTTGACTATTTCTCTTAAAAAGTCAAAATATTTATTATATTTGGTTTCTCACATGATTTAGCTTGTGTGCATAAAGACAGTTTTGCTTTTTTATGAGTTCTTCTCATTTCTTCTTGGACCAATAAGGCTGACTCCTTATGGCTTACAGAACAGCTAGGAGCTACATAGATATTAGCGTCCCCAAAGAGAGTCATTTGATTCAAAGACTTAGTGGGCCACAAGCTTGTCAGGTGCGACTGGTAACAGATCGAGAGAGAGCTTCAGGCGCAAGATGAAGAGAGAGACTGATGATGCAAAGCATGAGTGCAATGACTGATAAGGAAGAATGAAGAGGACTCAGTGATTTACGAAGAAGGCGCTCGAAGAAGATGAGGCTTGCGCTTGATTCTTACAACTTGAGAGAGCTTTAGTTGCAATGATTTAGATTTAGGGTTCGAGAGTATGACATTGAGAGGTATGCTACTTCGCGATTTGCCCTTTTTTGTCTCTTTCATCTAAATTTTTTTTAAAATAAAAAAGTGTCAGTTTAGTTGTTAATTTAGAGAGAAGAAAAAAAATAAAATAAAATGAACCGTTTGAGCCATTCAAACCGTCAGCTCTCCCGGTTCATAGCCGGTTTAGGTAGTTCGCAAGTGGTTCACTTCTCCCCTAGTTATGTGTTAGTTTTGGACTGGCTACTTGGTCAGTTCCCGATTGCACCAGTCGAACTAGCCGGTCCGGTCCGATTCTGATAACCATAGAAAAAACTACTAGCAAGCTTTCCACTAAACCACAACCATCTCTTGCTATGCTTGTTCTAAGATTTATAAAAATAACTTCAAAATCTCTTATTAGTAATAAATTAATTTAATTTAATTTTTTAATTCTTGGGTCATTATAGGTTTTTATTTTTTCGGCCAAAAGAAAATGACGCATTAATTGAAGCAATTCTACCATATATATTGACAAAAGGAAAAACTACATAGGTCAATTTTTTACTCAAGGCTCTATTAACTTTTTTCACCGAGAGTGTGGATCATTTGTTTGCAACGGAAAGCTATTATAATCAAGATTATTAAACTTAAAAGTTTAAATAAACTCATGATAAATAAATTAAAAATGTAGACTCAGATCATAAATTTATAAAAATTTATTTCTATTAATAAATAGCCTTTAAAAGTATATAATTAAATAATTAAAATATAAAATATGATCATAATTTAATTTAAATATATTTTAAATATAAATCGTTGATATTTAATCTACATTCATATATTATTATATTCAACATAAAAATGTCAAAATAGGACAACTTAAGGTCCGTTTGGTTTATATTCTTATTTTTTATTTTTAAAAACTGTTTTGTCATGCAGTTTTTAAAATTATTTTTTTGAAAAATCCCTTTGGTTATATCAATTAAAAATAAATTTTAAAATAAAAAATAAATTGATAGTGATGATTATAGACAGTTAATGATGGCAATTAATAATTAAATTTAATGTTTTTTAAAAAAATAAAACAAAAAAACTTAAAGTCGTTTCTATTTTTTAAAAAAAATAAAAAATGAAAATAATTTTAGAAACAACTAAATAAAAACCACTTATTCAAAAAAAATTAAATTTTTTATTTTCAAAAATAAAAATAGTTTTTAAAAATAGAAAAGAAATAGACTCTTATTTTTAGTATTTTTTGTTTTCTTTTTTATTAATATTAGTCTTTTTTTTAGTTTTATTTTTTATTGAACTGGGTCCTACTGTTTCTATGAATCAAATTCTACATAATATATACTTATATTGCTCAATGAGTTTATGAGTAGATTGACATAATTTTATAAGTTAAAAAAATAAAAATGATAAAATTAGAGAGTCAACTCGTAAGTTTAATAAAATTTTATCAAGTTCAAGTTTATAAACAAGTTAACATAATTTTATAAGATAAAAATATAAAAATGATAAACTCATAAAGTCAAACTCAAGAGTTTGACAACGATAATTATAATATTCTTTGTGATTTTCCATTCTTGATATATATTATTATTACTCTCATATATAATCCCAAAACCTAAAATCATCAGCTTTTGACTGTTTAATTTTTTTTTAGATTTTTTTATTATAAAAATCTTTAAAGAACTTCAAAAGATTAAGACATATATAAAATAAAAACGTACGTGCGATATTATTTCTTGTGAATTTTATAAGGATTACATTTGAAAATAAAATTAAAATAAAAGATACAGTCAATCAAAGTTTAATTTTGTGAAGTAGCCTATTTTGAATTTTTTTTTATTTTTTTTCTCGAACTGTACAAGAATTTTATATTAAAAGTTTTTTTTAAAGATTTTTGAAATTTTCACCTTAACTATATATATTATCTAGGGCTTGATTGAGATGTATTTTGGGTGATTCTGATTCATTGATAATTAAAGAAATCAATAATGATTGAGTTGAGTTTGGTAAAAAAATAAATAATGGTTGAGTCATCATCAATATATCTTAACAAAACTCATAGAATGCACCCTATTGGTCAGAAATTGTGCTATCTCATTGGTCAAAAATATTTTGGTCCAAGTTTAATTCCCTTCTATTGGCTAATTCTATTTTGTCTTTGCACCTACATTTAATATGAGTATTCATTCATTCATTCATTCATTTTAGTATCTCAACCATCTGGCCTGCATGAATTTCAAATGGGAGCATTAATTTCAACTATTTCTCCATATTCATTTATGCCCCATATTCCCAATGTTTATTCCATTCTTCCCATTAGTTTGTAGTTCTGTTTTTATTATTTCTTTGTTTGTTCTTACTTAATTTGTAGGTCTGTTCTAGCCGCTCTATCTTCATTTTCTTTGTTTAGTCCCTACTGCATTTTTAATTGAAGGTTTTAGTTTCCTAGATGGCTACCGATCATTTCACTCCCCTAAAAGATCTTCAAGAGGGTGTTGTTGATGATAAGGTTCGTGTTTGGATTGTACGCAAGTTTTGGGTTGACGATTTTGGCTTCTATTAGATTGCAAAGTCTCCCAACTTTATTATTTCTAATATGGAGGTTAGTCTTCTGAAATATTATCTTTATATCTCATTCGCATCATCCAATTATCTACCACATTTCTTCTTTTGTATCTCCTATAATTTTCCTATTTTTATTGTTTCTAGGAAACTCTTCTAATGGTTGTAGTTAATGTTCTTCACCTTATCTGTGATAACCCAAAAATTTTAAGTAAAACTAAATATATAAGTTTGTATTTTAATAATAATTATATTAGTTTTTGGAATAATTATGACAAGAAGGAAAGTTGTCGTAGTGGCAACAGAGCAAACATCTCCTCATTGGGTCCTGAGTTCGAACCGGAACTGGGCCATGAGTGGTCTTATTTTTCTGTCTTTTTATTATGTGAAATTACAGAATTACCCTCCTTCAAATTAGATAAAAATCTTCACTCTTTCGATTTTTCCAGACGCAGCAGAGAGAGAGAGAGTGTGTGTGTGATGGATGCTCTGAGATTTCATTCCTTCTTCCTCCTTCGAACCTTCGCAGTTTTTCCTTCTGTTTTCATCGTTGTTGTCGCTAGCGTGAGTAACCACCCTTGCTTCAATCGTCCGAAGTTGACAAGTCCTTAAGTTTGTCTGTTGCTGCTGCGCGTCTGCAAGATCTCTTCGTTCTTCCCGTTTCCAGCTCATATCTACTGTGATTTGTTGAGCCGCTACTCTTCTATTACCGTTGTTGGAGGCTTGGTTGATCAGAAATTTTAGTTTTGCTCCCCCATTCGTCCGTGCGTTACTGTAGATGTTGCTGTAAGTGTCTGGAAATCTTTATCTTCCTCTGCTGGTGCGTGTAGGAATTTTCAGGTTAGAAACTCGATCTTATCTCCTTCCTCGGAAACATTTTTGTGCATGTGAATGGATAAAGAGATGGGGCTGATTGAAAAAAAAATTATGTCCTGTAGATGCTGCTGTTGATACACAAATTTTCTTCCATAGTTTCGATTAGCTTTCTTCTACTTGTTTTCTTTATGGTTGCTGATTCATGTCTGAAATTTTATACCCTTCATCTTGCTAATTTTCTGTGCGAGCATTTTAATGGTTGAAGCTATAGAATTTTAGCGTGTTTGGCTGCTGCTCGTGTGTCTTAGAGAATAACAAATTCAAATGTTGAGCTGAAAATCCATCTTAAAGCTTGATACTGATCTTCATATGGTCATAATTTTTGGAATAAATTAATTTGGGTGGAATGATTGATGTTGAAGAATTGGGTAAAATGAAGTTGGAAGAGAAGAGGTTAGATATGATAATGGAAGATTAGTGTTTATAAGATGCTTATTAAAATGCTTATTAGAAGAATTGAATTTGACTTTAAAATTTCATAAATTCTTGTGGGAAGTAGGGTTAGTTTAGAAGTTATTAATCTATAAATTTAACTTGAAAGGTGCAAAGGACATTTGATTATGAAATTAATAGTGTATGATTATTAGAATTCTCGGAGACTGATACTTTGTTGAGAAAATACTTAAACGCTAGAGTTCTTATGAGGAGATTGGAAAGGATATATATTCGGTGTCTTGACAAAATGTTGATGAGAAATATATTTTTATATGTAACTTCGGTTTAAATTTTCAAATTTATTATAGTTGATTAGTGCTGAAAATGTTAAAAAGAAATTATTGTATTGGTTAAGGGTTGAATAGAATTTTAATATGATTTATAGGATATTTGGAGGAGGAGAAATTTGATCAACAGTGAGAGGTGAATTTTAATTCTGGGAATTTTAGGTAAGTGAATACCGTCCCAACTGATTTTTTTTTATTCAAAATTTCCTTTACTAGAATATTATGTTTTTCTGGAAATCATTTTAATAGCATTGATGCAATTATTAAATATTTGTTGATTAACATTACTTTATTTTGAGAAATGAGTTTTATTAAATTTGAAATGTTATTTGATCAACGAAGTCAAGTTTGAACTTTGATTATGAGATTTTTTTTAATCAAATATTGGATTGATACAGAGAATGATTCATGCGAGTTTGAAGTTGAAATTTTTTTTATTCAGTAAATGCACGCATAAGCATTGGATATGAAATTTTATACTGGCAAGTTTTAATGCTTAAAAGTATTCATGCGAGTTTGATTTTGAGAATGAGAACTGTATCTTGAAAGTGATGATTTTCTCGCATGTTTGAAAAATGGTTTTAAAAAGGGACTTTGTACAGAACACTGATTGCTAACGGCAGTTCTGTTAGCCCTTGGCGTGCCATGGTACACCTAGCTAGCAGGGTGTTTATGGGAGGTGTTAGCCCCGTGCGATGGCCAACGCACGTGGAACGGAGGGATGGTTATTCGTGAGCATGGTACTCATGTTTGTTTCGTGGCTCTGGCCGGGTTTGGTTTGTATTACCCTCGTGGACTGTGTGTCCACGTTTGTTTCGTGACTTCGGCTGCGTTTGGTTACTTACCTTCGTGGACTGTGTGTCCACATTTGTTTCTGTGGCATAAGTCACGTTTGGGTATTTACCCTCGTGGATTATGTGTCCACGTTTGATAATTGTTCTGATAAGCCCCTGTAATTATAATCTGATTATTTGGTGATTTTATATTCTATTGGTTCTCATTTAGCAACTTATTTATAAGTATTTATTTCATTTACATGCTTTCTTGAAATCAAGTGATAATAACAATTTTTATGATAGTTCAATGATTTACGATTTTATTTAATTTTTATAGAGCCATTTCATTTCAAAGCTTATGGAATTTTTATGTAAGAAGTTGCCTCTTTGGTTACATAATTATTTTGAACTTTTTTCTTATTCATGATCAATTATTTATTGTTGGGATGATATTCACTGGAAAAATTTATTTGGGTCTCAGATTTGTTAACTGACGCCGATTCCACCATTGACTCTGAAGGGCAAACTAGCTACAGTGGGTGGAAATTTTTGATTGGTACTGTTACTTTTAATGTAAATATATAATTTGTATGTCTTTTTGATTTTTTTTTAAAAAAGAGTAGATGCTCCACATAGATTGTTGTTAGGATTTTATTTTGATTTATATAGTGTTGCTGGCTGGAAGGAGCTAAGCTCCTGATTGATGCTGTTTTCTGAAAAAAAAAAAAATTTTGTTATAGAACTTTTGGGAGATCGTATTTCCAGGGAAGGTTCTGTCGAAATTTCAAAAAAAAATGTTGAAGTCTTATTATGACAATTAATAGTAGCATTAGAATTTTTATACAATCTGGTTATTTTTAAAATGAAAGAAATTTTTATTTTAAGGCTTACGGGAATGCATGATATAGTTCGCACCCGTGCCAGTCACTCTTTATTTTCAGGGTGTGACATTATCCATCGCCTATTGCCCATTCTTCATGAAGGGTCTACATATCACATCCAATACTTTGAAGTCAAATGGGCTAGAAATCCTGTATCCACTAAGTACTTCGTTATTATACAACTTGATACATATTTTAGTAAGTCACCAATCATGGTCCCCTCGCCTACTATAAAGTTGATTCCCCTCCCATTTTTAATAGATCCTCGTAGGTCTGAAAAATAACTTTTCAGTAAGTAAAACTTTTTTCATTGTTATTGTAAACATCATTATTCATTCTAAAGTTATGTCTTTCAAATGTTATCTATTTAACCATATGCTCATTAGTTTTTCTTATTATTTTCAAATGTTGCTGAATTGATTACTTGTGTTGGTCCCCTCATCAAGGAAGAAGATAATGGCTTTGTGCATTGGAAATTCTCCTTCATATTAAAGGACACATGGTTTGCTTTGTTCAACTTCATCTTCCTATAACTAAATAACTTTACTTTGTCACCATTTTATTGTGATTTTATTCTTATAGGTGAATAATTTCCAATCAATATCTTATTTACACTGGTAATCATCTAAATTGTTTACTTGAGGATGGTCTGGCTTAGGGTGTATATAATGATTATCTTCTAGAGATTGAGAAAAAAGATTCAGTTGCTATATTTGAATTTGCTAAGTTGGTGGGGAAGAATGGTCAGTCACAATTTTTCTTATGATTCTTTTCCATTCCATTATTTTAATTATGGTTTTATAGTAAGATTTATCATTTCATTCACTCTAAATGCAGATGACAAGGTGATAATGAACCATTATAATGCTATCAGGGTGAAGTACAACCATGATCATAAATTTGTCTAGTTCTTCAAAGATTGTTTAAAAAGGCAAACGTCTTTGATTGACCTAGATCACCCTTCTTCATCAAGAATTAAAAGTTAGGATATTTTCATCAGTACCCAATCGTCTCATGTAGAAGGCTTCTTTTGTTTTTCATCCTCTATGTTTCACTTTGCTAAATCTGTAATCTTGCTTCTAAAGTTGACAGTTATAATTTAAGCTCTGTTTTCTTTTGGTTGGGCTATGCATGATCATGTTGGCCCCACATTAAGTTTTTATCTATCATGCTCAATACATTCTTAATTATAGCAATTGTTCTTTGATTAGAAGCTTATATAACTATTACAATTAGTTTATCTCTTCTTTTTTCTTCATTATTAATGGTAGTATTTCATGACTCAAAATTAAAATTTTATTTTTTAAATCATCAGACTTTGTCCCAACAATTGAACACATATTATATAATTAAGTTTATATCAGAAAGCCTGTAATCATCAGACCATATGAGGTACCAAACTTGTAAGAATCATGAGCAACACCAAATGTCTCAGTTCCATTAAACTTTATATAATGAAGTTGTATCAAACCTGTACATATAATGAACATTATAGTAGAAGACGAAAAACTTAGTTTAATTAATCATGTATTATATAATGAATTTTATATTAGAAGACAAAGCCTCATTACTTGATGTATTGTTCTGAGTTCCTTCAAACAGTTGCAACTGAATTTCTTCCATCTTTACCTATTCATCTAAACCATCAAAAAATATTATTATTAATCATTTAATCAAGAACAATCTATTGTCACGTTGCAATTATAAAGGCTATTCAATATTACTATAATATTCCCAAGTAGTGAAGTAAACTATTAATTTATAAGCCTTTAAGAGTACTTTTTTTAAATCCTAGACACATAGTTTGAAAACCATCCCCTATTTAAAGGTATTTATTGAAATAAATTATCCATTTTTTCTTATTTCCTAAATAGGCACAGACTCCAACCACTGCCCCAACTAAAATTAATTTGTAAACCAAGAGTCTTTCATTTTAATGGCTTTGGAGAATCTATATCTATATTATTTCAATTTCAACTCAGATTCTCGAGTTAAATTAATTTTACATTAAAATGGAGCAGTAATTTCTTTTAAGAACATTGAACTTCTCAACAACTCTTAAACCTAAAAACCATCATTAATGCTTAATATCATCTGTTTATAAAGGGGCTCCCCATGTAATACTCATTTCAATTTCTCCTTTGTCAAAATCAATCTTGTACTTATCTTTACCTTAAAAAAAATACAAATTCTACATTATTAGCGTCAGTCATGTCGTTTGATGAATATGATTTTGTGAAGAATATCAATGACCCCATAGAGACATAGTATATTATGGTTAGAGTTTTAAGAAAATGGCCTATGAAGTAGAAAAATCCACCTTTCAACACCTGAAACTTTTCTTACCTACTAATTAATGAGAAGGTGTTCATTAAAGTTTGCAGCTTGGTATAATATTAGTTATCAGTTTTCACTAACAAATTCTTATTCTTTACTCAGGGTTCAATGATACAAGCTTTCCTTCAAACAAAAAATTTAATATAATAGTGTCACTTAAAACCAGTTGAGGGACAAATCTATTTCATAGAGAACTTTGAAGTTCTCCCTAATGCTGACAACAACAAGGGTTGTACTCATCCCTAGAAAATAAATTTCCATACAAATACTTTCATCGTGTAGCATGAAGCAGATGTCCCATCATATAGATTCAACTTTGTCCTAATTAAAGAGGTTATAAGTAAGGTAGATACAATAAAGAAAATAAAAAACTTTGATCATTTAATTGGTGTGACATTGTTTTTTTATTTAACCCATATATTACAATTAATTCTACTAAGTCATATATCTAAATGTGAAGTTAGAACTAATGGTTGGGCTTATTACAGACATCATAGGTGTCTTACAAGGTTTTAGAAAAATTCAAGACCATAAGTCTAGTATTTCTAACACAAATAGGCTATCATTCACAATAGCCGATGAAGAGTGAGTTTTGTAAATGCATATGATATCTAATTATATTATTACATAATTCATTTCCATGTTCTTTCTACTATCTGCAGGGAGAGGTCTATACTTGTTGTTCTTTTTAGGGATAGTGCAGACAGTGCTGCCAATGCAAGAACTGTTGACTTAAACCTTCCTATCATCGTTGTTGTAAAACTATGTTTAGTTGGGTTCTATCAAGGTGTGCTTTTGTGTTGATTGTATTATTAGTGTCTTCCTTCTTTCAATCATTTATTAAGTGTCCATATTTAATACCAAATGCTTAATGTAGGCAAACTTCAACTATCAAACTATGGAACAGCTACTTAGGTCCTCTTCAATCTACCTATAGAGGAGACTTAAAAGCTTCTAGATATATACTTCATTGAATTATTCATATTCTTTTTCTTATACATTATATTATCAACTCATATTGTTTACTTATGCACATTTTTATAGTGTTAATAATTCCAATGAACTATCCCAAGCTTTCTCTATAATGGCTTCTGAAAATGTTGATTACTTCAATCCTAAATATCTACTTACATTTCCAATAAGAATTTCTATATGCAACCTGCTTGACATTGACAGTGTAATTATTTTTCTTTCTAAAAATGTTACATCTTCCTTTCTTATAAAGAATAATATATCATTAAGAGATTTATGACAGATGTGATTTACTACTTTGCACTTTCTGAATTTGGATTTTTAAGGAAGATGAGGTTGTTATTAAGTGCAAGATTCTTAAGATTGAGACTAGAGATGGATGGACATATGAAGGATGTGGCCCCTGTGATGCAAAGCCATTAAAAGATGATAAAGGTGCTCTGTATTGTAAGACTTGCAAAAATAAAAAACCTATTTTTGAGCCAAAGTAAGTTAATTTAATTGTCAATCATGAATTTTTTTCCAGACCAAATTTCTTTCTACATCATCTTATATTTTAATATTTACTTACAAATTTAAAGTCCATTACAAAGTAAGTGATAGCTCCCGACAATGTCTTGTGGTCTTTTTCAATCGCCTTACAGTACAACTATTTGAAACAAGTGCAACCAATCTTCTAGCTAAGCAAGATAAGGTTCCATAACTATAAGAATAAATCTTATATTTTTTACTCTTTGTACATACATCCTTATTCATGTAGACTTTAGTATATCAATGACTTCTATCTAATTAACTTTTTACTACTAAACTCATTTTAGAATAGGCCTACCTTATTTCCAAGAATTTTCAATAGAATTATAGCAAGGGAAATGCTTCTGAGACTTAAGCTTATGAACTTCAATATCAGGAATTGATATGCTAGAATTAGTGTTTCTCAACATACTGATGATCCTGAAATAATCAGCCAATTTACTTACTCTAAGGGAAAGTTACACAAAAAAAATCCAAACACATGTGCATCTTAGTGAATTATTTGAAAATTTGGATTTCAAATTCAGATGCTTACAGTCTTCAAGTTTATTACCAAATTTACCATCTAATGCTTCACCTAAATTTAATGGTTTGTTTAACTACTGAATCATACCATAAAATATTCAATCTTACTTTTTCTCACTTCCTTTGAACTACAGAAATTAATATGCAGGAAGAGCAAAGCAGTGAAGTAAGAAATCATAACTTGGATGCAGATTTTTCAGCAAATAGCCTAAACAGTACATTTTACTTAGATGATGGTGACCTTACCTTCAATTGTGCTAACTGTGGTGCAAAGATGTGGTTCGCTGAGCGTCTCAAATGCTCCTCTTCTAAAGTTGATCATGTGTTTTCAATGTGTTGTTATCATGGAAAAGTTCAAGTTCCCAATTTAGAAGATCCTCCTGAAGGTCTTTATAAATTGTTCATGGACAAGGATTGTGTACACTCAAAAAACTTCCAATCAAATATCAGGGCATATAACAATATGTTTAGCTTCACTTTGATGGGTGGTAAAATTGATCATAGCTTGAATAATGGGGGTGGACCAAACACATTTGTTATGTGCGGCCAAAATTATCATCGTCTTGGGAGTCTATTCCCTCCAGATAGACTTCTTCCAGTATATTCTCAGCTCTACATTTATGATATAGAGAATGAAGAACTAAACAGAATTAATGCAATTAGGTAATAAATTAAAAAGCTCTACATACAAAAAGAATAAAAAGTTCTGCTCAGTTATAAAAAAATGATACATTGTCATTTCTAATAACTCCTTTTTTATGTAGAAACTATATTTGTGAATTATTTTTAGAAGGAATTGTTATCTAATGTTTTTTATTTGATTTCTCCTTCACTTTACAGTAAGCATTCAAGGGGAAGTACATTAGACCCACAAATTGTTGAATTTATCAAGCAAATTCTTGATTGTCACAATTCTTTAACTAAAAGTATAGATTGGCAAGAGACATATTAAAAGAAGATCTAGAAGCTTTGGTTAGGATCTGCTTGATAAGGCAAAATGAAAGGGAAAATAAGAACTTCAATTTACCCATTGCTTTAGAGGTAGCAACCCTTATTGTTGGAGATTTTGATGAAGCTTACACAAAAAGAGATATTATTGTAGAAAAAAGAGGCCAGCTAAAAAGAATTGATGAAATGCACAAGTCATGTATCCCTCTTCAGTATCCTCTACTTTTCCCTTTTAGAAACAATGGCTATAATCCAACATTAAATCATGAAGAGGAAAGCCTCAACCATATATTAAAGAAAAAGACTCTAACCATTAGGGAATACTTGTGTTACTGATTGATGGATAGAGATAATGAGATTTTACTAATTCTTCATGGAAGAAAATTGTTACAACAATTCATTGTTGATGGATATGCAATGATGGAGAGTCAAAGATTGGATTTTATTAGAAATCATTAAGATAAACTTAGAGTAGATTTGTATCAAGGTCTATCTGATGCTTTGTTTAGAGGTGAAACTAAAGCTACTGCAATCAGGAAAAGGATTATCTTGCCATCATCTTTCACAAAAGGAGCTCGATACATGATTAACAATTATCATGATGCAATGGCAATTTGTAGATGGGTAGAATATCCAGACATATTTATCACTTTCACTTCTAATCCAACGTGGCCAGAGATTACAAGATTTTGTGAGAAGATGAATTTATCACGAAGTGACTGCCCTGATATTTTATGTAGTTTTTCAATTCAAATTGAACAAGCTTATGAAAGTTATAACTTATAAAAGATAACAAATTTTTAGAGCAGTCAAAGCAGGTATAATATCATTTTACATTTCCAATTTCACCTCAATATTTACAAAAAAAATT